TTTAACGGCTTTTTAAGGATATAGATGAGGACAACATAAACGGAACCCTAAAGAGGTACGTTCTGTAGACCCTAGGTAAACTCTGGTAAGATGAGTATAGCTGCTTTTTGCCAGCTGAAACAAAAGGATTTCAAGGGTGCCAGCGCTGGGCCATCTCGGAGGACAGCACTGGACTCGTGCAGAGCCATCGGACAGAGCGCATTCTTGGGCTGCAGTTTGACAAACTAATCTCTGAGAATAGGTTCAGGGCTTAAGCCTCTACAGACTGTCTCCGCAAGTCATCGGCCTAAGACAAAGATGGCTTGTGAGCGCGATCAATGCTCCCTGTTCAATGGACCTTCGACTATCCCTATAGGGTCATACCCTACCCCTTTTTTAGGTTACCTACTTTTTTGTATAACAGATCCTAACCATAAAATTATACCTTAAAAAAGGGGTAGGGTACGACCCTTTAGGTCATCTTCCAAGCCTTTTCCTTGGAAGGTCTGGAACCCATGCAGCCACTGCTGACGCAGATGCGAGGCATTTTGTTGGCTCCGCTGATACGCATGCAAACTAGGGTGCATCTGAAAATGCTGACGCAGCAGGCAAAAGAACCAAATTCTCCCAGCAGACTTCAGAAGTACGTTGTGTATGAATGTACCTTATAACTTATAACTTACTAAAAACCTACGCCTGCTTACCTAAACCCGAAGCCTATATAAACCCCAGGGCATCCAGGGCCCAAGATTGTAAAACCTTCAACGTCGGGCTTGGGCCCGTCGCAGAGGTCCGCTGCGCCGCCTCTTCAGACAGCTGAACGCTAGGCGCACCCCAGAATGACGCACTCCCAGACTCCAGGGAGGGGTTGCACTTTCAATATAACTACGGGCTTCATAGTTTCAATAAGCTGGGGTATTGTTTTGTATAACCATATAATAAGGAATCCGACTCCAGGGAGGGTTACTCTTTCAATATAGCTAATGCAGGGGGCAGGGTTTTGGGGTATATAATACTCTGACTATAATAAGGAACCCCCCAAATAGTATAGGTAATTATTGAGGCCCCTATATAACTAGCTTCATAGTTTCAACCCTAAGTAAGGGCATTAGTGCTTACTCAAGGCTATCGTTTTTGACGTTTCAGGAGCCCTTTCTCGAGGCTGTTGGGGATCAGGGTTTAGGATAAAAGGGACTCAGCGCTAATCAGAGGGTGTAGGAATCAAAAAAAACACTCTATTCCCCTTAAAACCCTCAACCCTATAAGCCCTAAGCCCTGACCCTCGGTCTAAAGGAGGCCATCAGAAGTGCACGCCAACCCAGGCAGATAGCAGACGGACATCTCCCGTCGCAGCCTCCCGGGCCGTAGAAGGATGAGGTTTCTGAACACCCCAAGAGCGAGCCCCTAAATGAAAGGAAACTACAGGTGGGGAGTTTAGGGTATATGGGGCTTCTATAAGGCTTCCATAAGGTATATATAGACCTTCTATAAGGCTCCTATAACGGTAACTACTCACCTGAAAATGTCGCCGACCTAAACCCGAAACCCTATAGACCCTATAAGCCCTA